GAAGAACCCTTCTCCCCCTCCTGCCTCTCACTCTTTCTCCGCTCTCCTCTGTCTCCATCACGGATGCATGATCATCCAGGCCCTGCCCCCGGGCATGTACGTCACCACCCCGCCCCCCTTCACCTCCAGCCATGGTGCTCGGCTGGCTTCTGAGCCACTCAACCGGGCCGCCGCATGGGAGCAAGTAGCACAAACGGCTTCTCTCTCTCTTCTCCTCCTACTGCCTCTCCCTCTCCCTCTCTCTCTCTCAGCCCTCGTCTGCCTCTTGCCTCTCTTCTCCCCCTCCCGCCTCTCACTCTGTGTTTCTCTTCTCCTCTTCCTGCTGCGTCTGTCTCACTCTCTCTCTGTCCTCTGTTCTCCTCTGTCTCCTCCGCACCCTCTGTGTCTGCTCCGCTTTCCTCCTTTTGAATTTGGCACCCTTTACTGACAGCAGAGACGCACGCTCGTCCAGGCCCTGCCCCCTGGCTGTTCCCTCTGGGCGGCGCTGTTGCCTCCCACCGTGGCACTCGGCTGCCTTCTGTGCTGCTCAGCCAGGCTGCCTCATGGGAGCAAGCGGTGCAAGTGGCAGATCAGGCCCCGCGCTCCCCATGCAGCACCCGCCCAGAGGGAACAGCCTACGTTTCAGCTCCTGCTCCTCCCCCTTGCTATCTCTCTCTGATAGAGGCAGCAAGCAGGGGAGGGGTGGTGGTGAAGCAACTAGTCAAATGACTACTCAACTATCCAATTAACTTATGCTTATCGGATAATCAAGTAGTCGCTTACATCCCTAGTTTAACTTCAGGCAGTTCCTAAAAATATTGCCTTGGCACCAAGATATACATTTGCTTAGGGTATGCACATGTGCATTCCCCTCTTGTGTGTGTGCACCCCATCTACAGGCACCAGAAATTTTCTTCTCAGTAGTATCTGTCACGGTGGCAAGAGCTGGTGGCACCGGTATAAATATCCCTGCCAGAGGCCTCTTAGTTCTTTCTTATTTCCCATGGCAGTTGCTGAAGCTGCTCATTTTGCTTTTGCAAGTGTGGTGAGTGGACTGAGTACTCTTGTATTTTATTTAGGGCTGTCAATCACAGTGCAACAGATTAACACAAATTAAGTAGATTAAACAAAGTAATCACCACTGTAACCATAAGGTTAAACAATAATAGTATTTTCTATAGTTAAATGTTGATTTCAATTACAAAGTGTAATTGAAAATTATAAGTACAAAATACAAAGTGTACAGGTCTCATTTTATATTATTTTTTATTAATATTTGTACTGTGAAAAAGATAAACATAGGAAATAGTATTGTTCAATTCACCTCATGCAAGTGCACTTAGTCATGCTTCTTTTTAGCCAATCACTAAGACAAATATATTTGTTTACATTTAGGGGAGATAATGCTGCCCACTTTTTATTTATAGCATCAACTGAAAGTGAAAACAGGCGTTTGCATGGCACAATTGCAGCTTGCTTTTCAAGGTATTTACATGCCCGATATGCTAAAACATTTGTATGTCCCTTCATGCTTCGACTTGTAGGTTCTAAAGTTTGATGTTGTCTTGATGTTGAGTGCAGTTATGTTGAAAAAAAAATAAAGAAAATTCTACATCTGTAAATTGCATTTTCATGATTAAAACACTGCATTATGGTATTTCCAAATCACAGCATACAGATTTCTTTAAAGATAACATATATCCTCATATATAACATACATGAGTGTTCTATCTAAAGTAAAATGGTGAACATTTTTACTTCCCATTATGCCATCACCCAATATTCTAAAGATGAAGACAGATTTGGTTGAACTGTGCTACTGTTCAGTCTGTGTATAGATGAACTCTGATCCCTCCACCTATATCACTGCTTGGGAGTCACCAAGCATCAAATGTACATGTATAATCATTCAAAGAAGAAAAAACATTCTCATTTATCTTTTGTAACAGTTATTCTTCTTTGAGTAGTGTCCCCATGGGTGCTACATGGTAGGTGTCGGGGCTTGTTCCGGTGCTGCAGATTGGAGATTCGTCAGCAGTGGTCTGCCAGACCGCACATGCGCATTAGGCGCCTTGTGCCGTTCACAACGTTTCTTAGAGCACGTGGTCTGGATCCTACCAGTTTCTCCTAACCATCCTCAGTAGCAGACGGAGGGAGCTCCCTCTCGTCAGATCCTTTCATTGTCTAACTAACAATTAGATAGTTGTTAGTTAATCATTAGATAGTTAGTTGTAGAGTTAATAGCTGTAGTTTGCTTAGTATTATCGCTAGTTTTATTGTTGTTACAAAAAAAAAAAAAAGAGAGAGAAAGAATTGACGCAATACTGTGTCTTTAACAAGGACAAAGGATCACCCAGTTTAAAAAATGCGGCACTTGCCGGGAACTGATGCTCACATCAGACGGGTACTCCCGCTGCATTAGCTCCCTAGATGAGGGGCCTATCCCACAAAAATGCCCTCACTGCTCCAAGTTAACAGCACGAGCAAGACAAGACAGGGGGATGAGGCTTAAAATGCTTTTATTCAACAAGGCATTACAGCCTCCACAGACTGACCTCTCCCCACCCCGACTGGACTCTCTTAGAGCCAACAAGTGCTAGGCTCTCTCACCTGGGCCCCGTAGTGCTACCAAAAAGAGTGCCTCTCGAACTTGCTTGTTGCCACCAACACGAGTTAGTGTCGGAGATAAGCCAGGCACTTCAGGAATGGCTCTTACTCACCACCCAGAGAAAGAGAAACTAACCCATAGCATGTTGGCATCAGGGCCAAGTCTACCAAAAGAATTGGCGTCAGCAGCACCAACGCCACTTGCGGCACTGCTATTGGCCTCGGGGCCAGATTTGGCACCTAAAATGGCACCTCTGGTGCAGTCGGCATGATCGGCAGCGCTGGTGCAGCAAACATTGGCACCGCAGCAAGCACCGTTGCTGACTACGCCTCAAGTGAAGCCTACAATTCAGTCAGCATTAGAGCAATCCTCGGCACTGGCGAATGCACACCATAAGTCACACAGGGTCATCGCTCCTTCCCCCAGTCCGGAACATATCTCGTTTTCACCAGAGCCTCTCTCTTCTTCACCATCTCCATCAGCGGACCCACCACAACATTGATCCACCATTGAATACCAGGGCTCTCGGCACACAGTTCTCTTTCACCCCACTGTTAGTACCAGCACTGGCACACGTCCCTATTTCCGGTGTACACAAGCCACAGATCCCGGTCTCCTAGATCGCCCACAATCTCAGTTTACACCCGCTACCATGACAGCCGTAAGAGCAGGTATTCCTACAGGCATTCATCACCTGTCAGACATCATTCTAGTCGTCACTATGGTCATAACTATTATGAATGCCGCCACCCTAGACATCATTCCCTCTCATCGCATCATTCCCATTGGGGGTCATCTTGCTGCTATCGCTCGGACTCCTCAAATTACACCTTTGCGAAACATTACGCTATTCCCAACAACTTCATTAGTGACTCAGCAGTTGCCTCTGTAGTGCTGTCCACAGCAGCTGAAACCTTAACTTCGAATCCCGCCTCCTTATGTTGGGCCAGTGCTACAAAGTCACCTATAGTGGAGCACCCACAGGGACACCACTTGAAGAAGAGGAAGTTACTCACCTAGGTGCAGTAACGATGGTTCTTCGAGATGTGTGTCCCCATGGGTGCTCCACTACCCAACCTCCTCCCCACTTTGGAATTTCACCTTTATGTTGAGTATCTGAGGGTATGTCTATACTACCACCCTCGTTCGAACTAGGGTGGTAATGTAGGCAACCGGAGTTGCAAATGAAGCCCGGGATTTGAATTTCCCGGGCTTCATTTGCATAAAGCCGGGGGCCGACATTTTTAAATGTCCAATAGTGTCCGTTACTCCTCGAAACTAGTCTTCCTAGTCCGAACTACCTAGTCCGTGCCACGGAGTCCGCACTAGCGGACATTTAAAAATGGCGGCGCCCAGCTTTATGCAAATGAAGCCCGGGAAATTCAAATCCCGGGCTTCATTTGCAACTCCGGTTGCCTACATTACCACCCTAGTTCGAACGAGGGTGGTAGTATAGACATACCCTCAGATACTCAGCGATTAGGAGGAACTGGTGGGAGCTGGACCACGTGCTCTAAGAAACGGCATGAACAGCACGAGGCACCTAACGCGCATGAGCATTCAAGCAGACCACTGCTGACGAATCTTCAATCTGTGGCACTGGGAGAAGCCCGATACCTAAAGTGGAGCACCAATGGGGACACACATCTCGAAGAACTGTCTTTACTGCACCAAGATGAGTAACTTCCTTTTATTTCAGATGTGTTGCACATGACTATTCCATGACTCATGTCTTATCCCTCTCTGTTGGAGTTTCTGAAAAAAAAAAAAAAAAAGAATTGAAATGGCTCAGGGTCAGCTGGGCCCTTTCTAGCATTGCCAGTGTGCTGAAGCAGTGAGCACTCAACCAACGAGCACTCAAGCAGATACCACCATAGGTGACATGTTCGGTGGGGGACAATGCAGGGTCATGTGCCCCCCTTCCAGATTTACTGAACATACACAGACTGAGCATGCTCAGTAACACCACTGAAGCTGGATGCCCTCTCTGCCCCTCCCCCCATCAGCAGGCATGGGTTGTCTGAGTGCCACTGACTGAAAAGTTTCCAATGACAGTGCACATTGCATGCGCACAGCCAAGAATGGAATGGCAATTTGCAACATACCTCAAAGGACAACTTTATAAAAGGTTACTAACTTGCTTCTCTCACATTTCTTCAGTACGGGTAGCTGCAAATAACCTCAGCAGTGAACTGTTTAAAAAGGATTTGATAACTCCAGTGTTCAAAGTCCGCGAGTATGCTCTGAATATTATTTACAGGGATCACATTTGATCCAGTAAGAGGTCAATTATTTAGATTTGAGTTTGTTTGGTTTTTAAAATAAATGCTTTCTGGATGGTCTGAAATTAAGACATCCAACATCAATGACTTTGGACATTGTGTCATGAGCATTATGGCTCTGATGTGACAGCCTAAAGGCCAAAAGGAACAGAATTTGTTCAGATTTAGTTTTGTGAATGTTTCAGTTCTGGAAACAGCTGATAAATGATTAAAAAGAGCAATTGAATCGACCTGGTTTGTTTATCCCAATATCCAGGTATTTTATATACATGTTCTCTTTCTGTAACAGTCACGATTTGGAAAAGCAAAGCAATGATACAGACCCTGGTGGACAATTCTTAAAAATGTTTTGACATTTGTTAGCAATATTTGTTTTCTTTCCTCTTACAGATCATGGAACAGCGAGAGCTGCCTGGGCTTCTGGTTAATGAAGTGGGGGGTGTACTTGGTGTGCTGGAGGCCTATGTGGACTTCCTGAAGAAATACTTTCACCTTATCACCATGAAGAAATTTCTCAAAAACAAAAACCATTTGAGCAAAAAGGTCCAAGCTATTTATGTGTGGTGGCAAAAACCCATCATTGACCGAGAACTCCTCGAGAGTCTGCCCAACTTGAAGGTGATTGCAAATTCAGGTGTCGGAATTGATCACTTGGATTTGAAACTAATCTCTAGCTTTGGAGTGAAAATGGCTAATGCCCCAAATGCTGTTTCCAGCTCCACAGCAGACACTGGAATGGCCCTGCTGCTGGCATCTGCTAAAAGACTAGTGGAAGGTAACATTTACATCTTTTTGTATATTTCCTGAAATCGTATGAGCTGTAGCTTCTGCTAACTTGAAGTTTCCTGGAATTAGTCCCATTGTAATAAACTGTGAAAGTTTAAGCTTCAGAAAAGGTATTTGAACGATAAACAAAAGTGTTTAAAATACTAAGCCTCATTGTCTTTAACATAGTTTGCCATATTTTATATATGTCTATAGCACATTATCTAGTTGAAACTATGTTGAAAAATCTTCGAGAAAAATATCCCTAGGTTTTGTTAAGGTTCAGGTTAAGGCTGTGTCTAGACTACATGCCACTGTCGTCAGAGGCATGTAGATTAGACACATAGGCAAAGTCAAATGAAGTCACGATTTAAATGATCGCGGCTTCATTTAAATTTACATGGCTGCAGCGCTGAGCCGACAAACAGCTGATCAGCTGTTTGTCCACTCAGCGCGCTAGTCTGGATGCTCCCCTGCCGACATCAGAGCCCTTTGTCGGCAGCCCCGTTATTCCTCGTGGGATGAGGTTTACCGGGGCTGCCGACAAAGGGCTTTGATGTCAGCAGGGGAGCATCCAGACTAGCGCGCTGAGTGGACAAACAGCTGATCAGCTGTTTGTCAGCTCAGCGCGGCAGCCATGTAAATTTAAATGAAGCTGCAATCATTTAAATCGCGGCTTCATTTGACTTTGCCAAAACAACAAATCTACATGGCTCCGTCGACGGAGCCATGTAGTTTAGACGTACCCTAAGTGATTCCATTGTCAATTTGTAATGTATAGAAGGGGCTTACTACTCACACTAGAACCTAAATTTCCATCTCCAGAACAAGTATGGACATAGATTTCATGCTGTTTCCCCACAATGTATTTTCAACACTTGACAATATTTTAAGTTGTCTGATGTTTTTGGGTAAGGGATTTATTTCAAGATGTGGTGTTCTTGACCAAAAGTAACTAGTGATTTTGGATTCCCTATAGGAGAAATTTTAAAGGGCCTGATATACAGAGGCCACATCCTCACCACTTTCTGAAAATCAGAATCCTTTAAGGTGTCTCAGGTTAGGCCATTTAAAATCTGGTCCATTAATTTTAAACTCTTAACTTTTACCTCCCTTAAAACTACTGTCATAGAATGTCAAACCTTCCTACAGAGCCAGAAATATCTTTTTTTTTAATCCGCCACTTCATCGCACAAATAAAAAATTGGCCATGATTATTACGTGACACCAGCCTTATTTTTGTTCAGCACCTGCAGAAGGAGCTCATAACTTATGGCCTATTCCCACAACTGTCTAGGCAGCACTGGTCTAACATTAAGAGATTGTCTCTACTGCACTGGGGAGTGACACTGCAGTGATCGATTCACTGGCTATCAATTTATCCCATTTCCTTAGATGCAATAAATTAATCTCCTAGAGCTCTCGAGTTGTTATTGGTACTCCACAAAGATGAGAAGAGTAGCTGGCATCAACTGGAGAACAGTCCCCCCTCCCCCAAGGATGTTAAGGAGCAGGTAATTGGCTAATCATGTAGTTGATAGAATTTGATTTGACTATATGATTATTCAGTAAGGGGAGGCTCTGCAGAGCCACAGCGGGGATAGCTCCCGGAACTGGCACGAGCCAGGACTGAGCATTCCCAGCTTGCACCGGCTCTGGGAGCCATCTGCACTGTGGCTCTGCATTGTAAATGTAATAGGAGCTGCTGGGCTTTTACTACATTTAAAATGCAGAGCCGCAGAATTCCCGGTGCCAATGCAAGCCGGGACTGAGCAGGCTTGTGCCAGCTCCAGGAATGCTGCAGCTCTACTTCCCCTGCCTCTTGTTCCCTCCCATGCACCACAGAGCCAGTGCTGGGGGGAACTGGCTTTTAAGCCAGCTCTCCCAAAACCAGTCCTGCTTCCCCGCTCCACTTTTTCTGCCTCTGATACTCCCTCTCCCACTTTCACCTGATTCTCTTAAGCCACCTCTGCTTCCCATTTTCTTAGGGGCTCCAGGGAGATGAACTCTTGCCCCTGAGACTTGCTCCCACAGCTTAGGGAGCAGAGAGACCATGTGGGAGAGATCTGTGATATTTTCCTTTGTATTACATGGAGCTGCACAAAACATGGCGGCTGTGTCTACACTGGCCACTTTTCTGGAATAACTTGCCAGCTGTCTACACTGGCCGCTTGCTTTTCCGAAAAAACAGTGATAATCTAATGTAAAATCGTCATTGTTTTTCCGGAAAACCCCCCCTGCCAATGTAGACGCGCTTTTCCGCAAAAAAGCCCCAATCACGAAAATGACGATTGGGGCTTTTTTGCGGAAAAGCGCGTCTACATTGGCAGGATGCTTTTCCGGAAAAGCACTTTTTCCGAAAAAGCGCCCGTGCCAATGTAGACGCGCTTTTCCGCAAAAAAGCCCCAATCACGAAAATGACGATTGGGGCTTTTTTGCGGAAAAGCGCGTCTACATTGGCACCCTTTTCCGGAAATACTTATAACGGAAAACTGTTCCATTTTAAGTATTTCCGGAAAAGGGTGCCAATGTAGACGTAGCTGGCATGAGAATCTCGCACAATTGAGATTTTATTCGTAGGCATGGGCCGTTGCACTACAGGCTTTACAATGCACAGCTTATGGATTTGGGAGAGTTGGGAATGTCTGGGCAATAGATTTTTATCACAAGGCCCTCTCGCCCTGTTGGCAAGCTGGCAAGCTAGCAAGCAGTGTGTGCGACAGTCACTATTTTCTGTGTTCTGCAAATAAAGATCTCTTTGGTTTATTCTTTAACCAGAATTAGAGTTTAATTGATTATCTAGGAATCTGGGTAAATAACTGACAAATGCTCTCAAAGGAAATCAATCTCCTTTTCAGAGAGAACAGGAGAGGTGGACATGACAAACTGTCCTTGTTTTAAATAACAAAAACATCCGATATTATTCTCCATTAAGTTCACTAAATCCTGAATTGGCACTATTGTGCACTATACTATTCTGACCTGGGCTGTAGAACACTGTATTACATTGTTTGCAAGGGCATTTGCAAGTTAAAGTCTGGAAAAGACTTCCTAAGAGGCAACAGAATTTCTGTGTTAACTGGAGAATCAGGAGGGAAAGCCGTTATTTTCAACATTATAATAGGATAATGGGAAGGAAAGGGAGAAAGAGCAAAGCCCAGTAATTAAAAACAGTGTTTTTCTATTCTTAATAATGATTATTTTAACATTTATGTTTTAGTGATGCCTAAAGGCCACATTCTAGCATCTTATTGTTCCATCTTGAAACAAATCCATTTCTGAGTCAGTATTTTTATTTTAGGTTGTCAGATTGCAGTTTCCCCAAACACTGAATATTTTGCTGCTGACTGGATGGGAGATGAAGTTACAGGGGCTACTCTTGGTATCATTGGAATGGGCAGGATTGGGTATAAGATTGCACGGAGGGCCAAAGCTTTTGAAATGAAAATTCTGTATCACAACAGGAACCGGAGGTAAAAGTATCTCGATCCCCATTAAAGCAGACTCCATTTTTCACTTCTTTATATAATTAATAATGTTTTAAAAACAGCACATCCTTTTTCTAGGATGGGTGTAGTTGAGGTATTTTTCATTTAGGGTATGTCTACACAAAAGGGCAAAACTTGAATTAAGCTACCGTATTTTCCGGCGTATAGGGCGACTGGGCGTATAAGACGACCCCCTATTTTTTTAATTAAAAGATAGGGTTTCATCTTATACCCCAGCGCCCCTCCGCCTCCTTTGCTCCCGGTGTCCCTGGTCTGCTGGAGATGGTCCCCAGCAGACCAGAGGCACTGGGAGCAAAGCCGCAGCAGCTTTGAAAGCCTCGGGGGAAGCCGGCGGCGGGGCATCCCAGGCGCGCCTGGGCTGCTCCCGCGCCGGAGCCCCTCCGCGGCTTTGAAAGCTTCGGGGAAAGCCGGCGGGGGGGAAGCCCAGGCGCGCCTGGGATGTATACCCGGCGTACAAGACGACCCCCGATTTTTGGGGGATGTTTTTTAACATCAGAGGTCGTCTTGTACGCCGGAATATACGGTACACAACTTGAGCTACGTCAATTGCATAGCTGAAGTCGAAATATCTTAATTTGGCTTTTGGTGCTGTCTACACTGCAGGAAGTCAAAGGAAGAACACTCTTCCTTTGACTTCTCTTACTCTTCATGAAATGAGGGTTACAGGAGTTGGAGTAAGAAGTCCTCCAGCTCTCCATTATTTCAAAATAACGGCTTGCTGTGTAGACACACTCTTTATTTTGGAATAACATCAGTTATACCAAAATAACACTGCTGTGTTATAGTCTGAGAGAGAACAGATAATCTGTGATTATAGCAAAGAATTGGGATGTGAAGGGGAGAGACCAAGATTTTGAAAAAAAATTGCCTTATGTCAGCTTCTGAAATCATGTGTAAATATCCAAAAGTGGACTTAGAGATTTTAAAAAATCTTGGCTTTGTTGGTAGCTTGCTCCAGGGTGGACAGCAGAGTTAAAACAGGGAGTTGTACCTGTTTGTGATTGTTTATGCTGTAGAAAGGCCTGAAAGCTTTTTTTCCATTTTTAAGCTGATATTTTTAAATTGGAAATTTAGCTCTTATTCCCTGAAATTCTGTGGATAACTAGAGAAATAGGAGGATTGTGGCATTACAAGAAAATGAAAGCTGAATAACTGAGAGGTGATTTTAGACAGTTTCTTTAAAACCCTTTGGCTGTGTCTACACTGGCAAGTTATTCCGGAAAATCAGCCACTTTTCCAGAAAAACTTGCCAGATGTATACACTGGCCGCTTGAATTTCCGTAAAAGCACTGACGATCTAATGTAAAATCATCAGTGCTTTTCCGGAAAAACTATGCTGCTCCCGTTCGGGCAAAAGTCTTTTTCCGGAAAACTGTTGCGGAAAAGGGCCAGTGTAGACAGCACAGTAGTGTTTTCCGCAAAAAAGCCCAGATCGCAAAAATCGATCGGGGCTTTTTTGCGGAAAAGCGCGTCTAGATTGGCCACGGACGCTTTTCCGGAAAAAGTGCTTTTCCGTTAAAAGCATTTTCGGAAAATCATGCCAGTGTAGACGTAGCCTTTCAGTAAAATTGTGGTCCCATTGACGTTAGTGAATATTTTGCTATTGACTTTAGTTGGGTCAGGATTTCACCCTTTCTTTGTAACACTATTTAACTCAAATGCCTGAGAGAAACACGGGAGGAAGGAGGTCTTTGTTATTAAAATTCAGCACTTCTGTCCCTTTAGCTACAGGGTGAGACTGTACAACACACATTGCAGACCTCTAAGATCTTGTCTACACTGGGATTTCAGTCATCAGTGACCAGTAACTGTGTAAACACCTACGCTATGTCTACACTCACGGCTTCTTGCACAAGTATGGCCATTCTTGCGCAAGAATCCGCAGAGCGTCCACACTGCCTGCCTGCTATTGCGCAAGGAAATTTACAGTACGTCGTGGTAAGAGAGGGCTTCTTGCGCAAGAGCTACGCTCTTTTTTAACAGTGTAAGCCCTCTTGCGAAGGAGCTCTTGCTCAAGTGGGCAGTGTGGACCCTCTGCAGGGATTTCTTGTGCAAGAAAGCTGTATGGCTAAAATGGCCATCATAGCTTTCTTGTGCAATAGAGCATCCACACTGCCATGGATGCTCTTGCACAAAAGCACATCTCCCTAGGCTACATCTACATTGCGCATTCTTGTGCAAGAAGATATGCAAATGAGGCACTGTGATGAATATCGCCGTGCCTCATTTGCATATCTAATGAGTCACCATTTTTGCACAAGGGGCTTTTGCACAAGAAGGAGCCATCTACACAGCTCCTTATTGAGCAAACCTCCCCTCTTGCTCAAGAGCCGTTCTGCCTGAAAATAAGTGGCAGAACGGCTCTTACGCAAGAGGGGGTTTTTGCACAAGAAGGAGCAGTGTAGACAGCTCCTTCTTGCGCAAAAGCCCCTTGCGCAAAAATGGTGGCTCATTAAGTATTCATCGCCGCACCTTATTTGCATATCGTTTTGCACAAGAATGTGCAATGTAGACGTAGCCCTAGTGTATTTGTGATATAGCGGCAGTGCTATATAATCCATGATTTTCACCACTGCAACTTTATCCTTATTTGAAATGGGGGTAAGCTGCACTGGTGCAAACTACACTCTATGGGGGTTTGCCTGCCTATAGCAGGGATTTCCCGCAGTACAGCTATGCTATTAGGTGGCCACAGACATGCCTGCTGGGAATGGGAGTTAGAGGGCAGTTGCTCTGGGGCCCAGCAATTCAAGAGGGCCTGGGACTCTGGCCACTACCGCAAGATCAGTGGTGGCTGGAGCCCCCAGCCCTTTAAATTGCTGCAGAGCACCATGTAACACTCTCTGGGTGACTCTCAGGGCTTGCTGTAGGGAGTGAGAACAGCGAGGTGCACCTTGGTCAGCACTGCACCCCTTCAGCCTGAGGCCCCGCCCCTTCAACAGCACGAAACTGGCTTCCCCCAACCTTACCCAGGAGCCTGGCAAGGATGTTGGCAGCCCAGGCCACAGATTACTGTAACCGAGGCAAATCCCAGGATAGACAGGGCCAGAGTCTTTCAACAAAAGCAGAGAAGACCATATGAGACATTCCTAATATTCTAACATAAAAAAGAACAAGCAGAAAAAAAATCTGAAAAACTTTGTTGGTCTCCAACTGCGGGGGGGCCATCGACGGGACGAACATCCCCATCCGTGCCCTGGAACACCAGGCCTCCCAGTACATCAACCGCAAGGGGTACTTCTCCGTCCTCAAGCAGGCCATGTGTGACCACCGGGGCCAGTTTACGGACATTAATGTGGGCTGGTCCGGCAAGGCACACGACACCAGGGTGTTCCGCAACTCCTCTGTGTGTCAGAGGCTGCAGGCTGGGACCTTCTTCCCCGACCGCTACATTAGAGTCAGGGACATGGACATGCCCGTCTGCCTGGTGGGGGATGCGGCCTACCCCCTAAAGCCCTGGCTGATGAAGCCGTACACGGGGCACCTCAACCCCTCCCGGCAGGCCTTCAATGCCAGGCTCACCAGGGACCGCATCGTGGTTGAGGGGGCCTTCGGACACCTGAAAGCCCGATTTCGATGGCTCCTCACACGCCTCGACCTCGCCGAGCACAATATCCCTCCCGTGGCTGGTGGCAGTATGTTGTGTGCTGCACAATTTATGTGAGCGGAAGGGGGAGGCTTTCCTGCCAGCCTGAATAGCTGAGGCTGAGCGCATGGTTGGCCAGTGCGTGCAGCCCTGCACCACCTGCCGTCCAGGAGGCCCAGCGGGGGGCAGTCCGGATCCGGGAAGCCCTGCAGGAGAGCTTCCAGGTGGAGGAGGAGGACTGAACTCTCCCTGCATGCCCCACTGGGGCCTTCTTCCACTCTCCCCTCCTTCCCCTTTCCCCTCCCTAACCCCCCTTCCTAATGTAAAATATACACACCTGTTTTGCCAACAAAAATCTCTCTTTATTGTACATAACTGGGGTGGGGGAGGGAGGAGTGAGAGTGGGAGAGGGGAAGGGGAAAGCTGGGAGGAGGGAGCTGGAAGGGGATGAAAGGGGAGGAAGGGAAGGGAAAGCTCAGGGTTGGGGGTCCTGCTGGCTCTCCCGTCTTGCAGCACTGCGGGTGCGGGGGCATCGGGGAGGAGTGGGTGTGGAGAGTGGGGCAGGAGGGATGGGGGGTGAGGAGGAAGCGGGAGGGGGAGTAGGGGTGGGAGGAGGAGTGAGAGCTGGGGCGGCCACAGGGGCTGGAGCAGGAGGAGGCAGGAACCTGTCTACCAGGGTCTGGAGGTGATCTCTTAGGGCACGGCTCTGCTCCTCCAGCACCTCCAAGCTCCGCTGCCACAGCCGCAGGTCCTCCCGGACCCAGTGCTCCTGGATGCATAGCTGCTGCTCCAGTAGCTACAGGTGCCGCTGGTGGTAATCCTCCAGGTTGCAGGTGTGCCTGCTGGCCCGGGTGCGGGTGGCTGTTGCAGGCGCGGTGGTGCGCCCTGCAGTCCCAGGTGCTGCGGCTGTGGTGAAACAAGAGCAGTGGTCAATTCTCACTGGGGACACAAGCCGTGAGGGAGGCTTCGCGAGCCACACTTTAAGTGGGGGGGGAAGAGCTGCATGCTGCTCGTGAGCCGCAGGTTGGCCACCCCTGAAATAGCTCTTAGTTATGCTGGGTGGGAGCCAAATAAGCATCCTGGAAATTTAAGTGCAGTTTTGTTCACGCCTTTTGTTCATTTGCTCCCTGGTTGTTGACTTAGGCAGCAGGAGAAAATAATTTAATCTGTGCTTGAGAAAAAACACATGATCAACCATGACGCCACAGTTATGGGGTTTTGTCTCTGCCCAAGAATATTTTTGTAGGATACATTTTTATCTGGCTCTTTAGTTATTACTTCTTCATCTTCATTCAACAGTTTAAGGAACATTTTTCTAGAGTACCTAGTGGATTTAGAAGCACAAATCCCATTTAAAGTCAGTGGAACTTGAGTTCCGGACTTTCACAGGTGCTTATGAAAATCTACCTATTAGTTCTTAAATTACAACTGAGAAAGGTTATTAAGAGTAGGATTGGTGATTATATAATAGTTATGCATTGTAAACATTTTCAACTAAAAATCTATATATCTGAATCATAGAGCATCACTGAACAGTCCTGCTTGCCAAAGGAACTCCTTTGCCACTTCCATCCTTCATAAAAAGAGTCTTGTTGAAGGATGGTTAAGAGATGGACCACTCATAATGCACCTGTGCCATTGAAACAACCCTAGAGGAGGCAGACTTCCTTTACCCCTGCTTTGCCATGAGTTTTACCTTCCTGAGGAAATTAAGCCTATAACTGACTGTCACAGCTATTTCCCCTTTTGGACCAAGCACTCTGCTAAAACCACATCAGTGATCCTGGAGAGATACTTTCCTAGTTGTAGTTTGAGAACGAAAGTACCAGTGGGAATAATATAAGGTAGAAAAGTAACTTTTCCATGACCCAAACTTCCTTGACTGTAACATGATTCTTATTTCTCATCAGAACCGAGGAAGAGGAACGGGCTGTTGGTGCCACTTATTGTACAAAGATAGAAGACTTGCTCCAGCAGTCAGATTTTGTGATGCTGGTCGTGAGCCTGACACCGCAGACATGTAAACTGATTGGGAAAAGGGAACTGGAGTGGATGAAACCCACTGCTACTCTCATTAACATCAGCAGAGGTAGAGTACAGTGTATTGTTTGACTGCACAATACTGATCAACCCCAGTCCTCCAGAATGTAGTGCCAAAATTGCACTGGGCAGTATAACAGTACACTGGGCTAACAGGCTCTCTATGTCTATATGGCAATATAAGCCCAGGATTAGTACAACTCAGGTTAGCAGAACCTGGGTTTGTTAACTTAAGGCTGGAGAGTCTACACTGTTTTGTAAACCTCAGGTTAAGAATTGCTGAACCCTGGATCTAAACCAAGAGCTCCAGCATTTACACTGCATTATGTGGTTCCAAGAGGGGAGGGGAGGAATCAACTAGTTGACTAGTTCTTAACACCCTTAGTGAGGATGGTGCAATGTTGGTGTTGCCACCAGGGAGGGCAAAGTGGTGCAAATGGGGTCAATGACATGGGGCCATTAAAATTCATAAAAAAACATAACAGCCCCTCCCCCGGCACACCCCCTTATGGCCCCTTCCATGGCACCGCCTGTAGCCCCTCCCCCACACCTTCCCCAGCATCCCTCCCACCTCCATGGCCACTCCCACAGTGCCCCCGTCACCCCTCCTCCACACGCTTCTCTGCGGATGAAATCAACGGAACAGGCGCGCGATGCGCAATGCACGATGGTGCATGACAGCAATGCATAGGCCTGCTTTGTGCAACGGTAGAATCGGTGATGGAGTCGCTCGAGTCTTGACCGGTGAGTGGAGAGTACGCAGTGGTTGGATGAGTTCTGTTGTCATCTGTTTTTGTGGTTGCGTGGTTTTCCGTAACTGACAACAGCGCAAGTATGGTGTAAATGAACAAAGATAGTGTGCATGAAATAGTGAAAAAATCGGCCATTCTCAACCCATTTCCCGGCCCTATTTTGATTGCCAGTCCGTCCCTGACTGTCCACCAAACTTGACTGTCCAGAGGATGAAGAAAGGCAGCACATGGGACTTTTGGGATGCTTTTGGCCAATCCCAGAGCATGAGTCCAGTGGGAATGTGTATATACTGCAAAGCAATGATGCTTGAACCCTGGGTCATGGCTTCATTCAGGCTGGGAGTCTTGTACTCCATCCTGGGTCCAAGTCCTGAGTTAGCTCAATTTGTGTGTAGACAGAAAACTGTTTAAACTTCAGCTTGAGTTCATACCCAGGGCTTACACTCCTGGGCCTGGTCTGTACTAGACCAGGCAGGTCAGCTTAGGTTACTCAACTCCAGCAACGCAGAATGCATAGCTGTAGTCAACTTCCCTTAAGCCAAGCCATGGCAGCGTTCACACAGAAGGAGGCTGATGGGAGCAAACGTTCTTGTCGGCTACCCTTACTCCTTGCAGGAGGAGTACTGGACACTGGCAGGGGCTGCCCTCAGCGTTCAATGTAGGGGTCTATACTGGACCTGCTACATCGGATACTAGAAGATCGACCTCCGGAGGGTCAATCTTCTTATAAGTGTAGACATGCCGCTAGAGGCATTTTTCCTATCTTCAACAATCTGACTAGGTTCAACTGAAGGACTTTTGTTTGTGTGTGCTGGAGAGTGATTGAAAACAGAGACGCTGGTGAACTGCTTAGGAAAACTGTAAAAACTAACTGGAATGGTGGAAAACACTGCTGCTGGAATTGAAGCTCCTGTGATAAGTAACAACTGTCTGTCTCTCTTCCCTTTCACAAGAAATTTTTTTTTTTTTAAATCTGATAAAACTCCATTTGGCAGTTTTGTTTTGTTTTTTCTTTAAAGTGATTGAAAATGTTTCTGCTTTAAAAAAAATGCTGTTTTACACCCCAATAATTTACATTAAATTCAAATATGTAAATGTGACGTGTGTAGTCCTCAGTGAAGAATATGAGTTGATTAATGTATACAGTTGTTATGAACTGAGCAGTATACATTTTATTATGTTGTATCTATTCATTTCCTTATTTTTAAGCACGAGTGTTGTAAATGATGTGGTGAGTGACAGACAGCAATGTTCTTACCTAGAAACCTTAACAGCTTTTTACAATGAAGTTTCTGAAATATATTACAGTGTTTAAATTTATACAGTGTGCTATTATAGATGTGTATATATACTATTAACTATGTATAATAAAACAAACTGTTATATATGTATGTATGTGCCATGGGGTTAGGATTACGATCACTGTGGTAACCAGAATTTAGAATTTCCTGACTCTAGTCCATTAGAGGTGGGGAACCTTTTTTGGGTCAGGGACCACTGACCCCCTCACCCCAAAAAAATCAATCGGGGGCCGCACCCAAGTGAGAAGCAAAACAAAAAATAAAATCCCTCACTGACGTGGCCCCCAATTTAGAAGGAAAAAGACACTCCTCATATTCCCTCCTATACCAGAGCCTATAGGGGCCCAGGTTAATAGACTGTGTGCTCCAGCCCCATGGGGAGGCAGCCAGGGGGCTGGAGCACAAGCACAGGCTCCCCAATGCTGGGGGAGGGGAGAGCCCTGAGCCTTGGGGGACCAGATCCAGGTAACATCACTCATATTCTGCATTTACAGGGTAAACTTTCCTCTCTTCTTTGTTTAAAATTAGTGCCTCAAATTCTGGCTCTCTCTACATGTGGCTCCCTAAGTAAGAACAAAATTAACAATTTGAAACAATTTTGTTAACTGTTTGTTTTCATTGAGATATTTCATTGGAAGATTGATTAATATTTCCAAAGCACTTTGAAGAAGAAAAACATGACAAATATTGAATACTAGTTTGTTACCCATTGAACCAAGAGCTCTTGAGATTGAGCTGTAAATCCATTTTAATATTGGGCCTAGAGCGGGGAGGCTTCATCGATCCTTGTGATCTTCTACTCCCCCGAGTTACCTAGGATCATGCCCAGTGACCCCAACATATTAAAAATTAAAATACAAATCTCTCTTCTAAATTAGCAATTAGTTAAGTTTTCCCTTTATACTTTTTCCTTTTCATCCTGACATTATTTATATATGGCATTAAGAAAGTGTCCTCTTATTTCAACCCAGGTCCAGTGGTAGACCAAAATGCACTGGTGGAAGCTCTTCAGAATGGTGTTATCAAGGCTGCAGCTTTGGATGTCACTTACCCTGAACCTTTGCCCAGGTACACAGCTGTGTGTATTTATCAAAAAGTATTTAAAGTCACAAAGAACAAGAAATAAGGACTCAAAAAGGCCCAGCCAGTGGGGATGTGGCAGAGGCTGGAGATAGGCACATATTGCAGTAAATAGGAGGAGGGCAGTGCATGTGCCAGCCTACCTACTCTATGGCCCATGCCTACCCAAGAATCACAGCATGAAGCAGAAGCAGATGTGGTTCCAAACATTCTATCTGAAGGGAGAAAACACCAGTCCCAGGGCAATAGAAATGATGGCGATGGATAGACACTGTATGAGCCACGGTTGTCCAGACAACATTTAGCAACCTCACTTCTCCCCTTCCTTGTCAGTCTTGTCTCTTCAGTACAATGCTGCAAGTTTTACTGATGTTTTACAGGTCTCTTGGTCATGGATGCTCTTTAGCATCTAAAAAATTAAAAGCTGCTATGCCTCATGGAATAGATTGTCCCATGAAACTTTAGAGCACTAAATAAATTGGCAGGGATGTTGATTATCAAAGCTAGGTAGATAAAGACTCATCATCACATAGGCCGTGTCCAGACTCAGGGGTTTTTTCGGGAAAAGTAGCCTTTTCCCAAAAAAACTTCCCCTGCGTCCAGACTCAAGCCGCGTTCTTTCGAAATTATTTCGAAAGAACGCGGCTTTTCTTTCGATGGCGGTAAACCTCGTTTCACGAGGAAGAACGCCTTCTTTCAAAAGTTCCTCTTTCGAAAGAAGGCGTTCTTCAATGTAAAGAGGCCGTCTTCGAAAGAGAGCATCCAGACTCGCTGGGTGCTCTCTTTCGAAAAAGCGGATTTCTCTTTCGAAAGATCCGCCTGCAGTCTAGACGCGATCTTTTGAAAGAGGCTCTTTCGAAAGATGCTTTCGAAAGAGCCTCTTTCGAAAGAAGCCTGCAGTCTAGACATAGCCATAGAGTTAATCCTTTCCCTCAACACACGGCACAGACTGCTGTTTATGAAAATCAGTTTTTGTGTTTCCCTGAAAGAAAGTATAAAAATCTTAAAACATTCCATTGGCACCCAAAACAAACTGAACTTGATGCAGCAGACTCTTAAGCAGATATCTACATACCATTGACATTAATGAGATTAAATAAGTGCATAAATTTAAGAACAAGCCTAAAGGCTTTGCTGACACAGGGCCTTTATTGATTAGGATGTGTGCCAGTAGTTGTCTTAACCATGCCGTGCTTGTTTTATTCTTTTTTTTTCAGAGATCATCCATTATTAAAACTAAAGAACATTCTCATAACTCCTCATCTTGGTGTTAAAACAGACAAGGCCACTCGCATGATAACGGAGGAAGCAGTTGCAAATATACTGGCAGCTCTTAATGGTCTCTCTATCCCCAATGAAGTATTTCCTTAGTTGGGAGATATTAAAGGGCATCACAGCTATAAAAAAACATTATTCTACAACTCTCCTTACAGGAATGAAGACATGTTACTGTTACCCTGAGTGTAATCTCTATGAATAAGGGTACACAAAATGGAGTCTGTGAATCCCTTTTGTATAAGGGTTGGCTTTATCACCACAAGTGTAGCTTCCCGCCAAAAGAGCGGTGTTGCACACGATACTCTACCTACGCACTCATCTCAACATCATGTGCACTTGTCCCTACAGTGCTGCACCCCTCACCAAAGCTGCACTCAGCCCTCTAGTTAGCTGCACTCATCCCTCTAATCATCTGCACACGGCCCTAACTGTTGCACTCAGCACGTCAACCCCTTTTCCCGCCTCAAGGCCAATAAAAGGCCTGGGCTGAGGAGAGTTCGAGTTCCTTTAGTCCCTCTTGCTCTTTGGGTTCCTTAGGTTCCATACCCTTTTTCGTTCCTGTTATATTGAACATCATTGGATTAATGGTTTTGTGGTAAAGTCTTTTGGTTTTGACTTGTGTGCCACTCACGTGTGGAATCATCCCATGTAAGAGTTTTGGGCTACAGTCATTACTTTTGGTCTTGGACTTATCAACCGTCATCACCACCCACTTTCTGGACCGGACGGATTCGCCGATAGGCCATCCATTTCTGGATCCTGAGAGAACCACCAGCCAATGATTGAGGATCGTCCAGCAGCCTTAGGCCAGAAGGTGAGGATACTGCATCGAGGGATCTCTCCACTGGTCCTCCTTCGAGGCTTACAATTAGCCAAGAAGTAGAAGGTCACGGGCGCTGATCGCCTGACATTTTGTAACGTATCACTTTTTTGTATTGGGTTCTTTTCGATCTTCTTTATATCTTGGGATAGGGTAGGTTGTGTTTATTGCTCCTGTTTTGCTGTTTATATTTCTAAAATACATGATTTGGCCCTAAAATGTGTGTTGCCTGATTATTGGATCAGTAGTCTGCCGGTGATAGAGGTATGGATTACCAGACGAATCTGGGTCAGGGATCATTAACAGCTAGTCAGAACGAGTCTAATTCTATATGCAGATGCGCACCACCCATAGAAATACATGCTGCTGGCTGTGGGCACTGTGGGAGCTCTGCTAATAAGCTGGGCAGCATTTGAACCTCTCCTGGGTGGCTGCCCAAGCACTCAGCTTACTGCTTGTTACTACAGAGGTGTGAAATCTTTGACATGAACCTCAGTCTTCATTTTGGTTTGCAAATACATAATAATAATGGCTGTTATATAACACTAGCCGATTTTTCATGGTGTTGCTTGGATATGTAACTCAAGAAATGGTTGGTTGGGTCTTCCAACAGTGGTCAAGGTCAGGTGCTTCAGAGGGAATGAACAGAACAGGTAATCAAGTGATCCATCCCCTGTTGCCCATTCCCAGCTTCTGGCAACAGGCTAGGGACACTCAGAGCATGGTATTGCATCCCTCCCCATCCTGGCTAATAGCCACTGATGGACCTATTCTCCAGGAATTTATCTAGTTCTTTTTTTAATCCTGTTATAGTTTTGGTCTTCACAGCATCCCCTGGCAAAGAGTTCCACGGGTTGATTTTATGTTGTGTGAAGAAGTACTTCCTTTTGTTTTTTTAAAACCTTCTGCCTATTAAATTAATTGGGTGATTGCTAGTTCTTGTGTTATGTGAAGGATTAAATAACATTTCCTTATTCACTTTCTTCACATCAGTCAAGATTTTATAGACCCCCCCTCATCCTATTCCCCGCTTAGTCATCTCTTTTCTAAGATGAAAATTCCCAGTCATTTTAATCTCTCCTCCTGTTTCATACCCCTAAATCATTTTAGTTGCCCATCTCTGTACCTTTTGCCAATCCGACTTATGTCGGACCCGCACTTACGAACGGGGCTTTCTCGCCCCGGAGGTCGAGGTGGCAGATTGCTACCTGCGAGCTCCGGGGCAAGAAAGCCCTGTTCGTAAGCTGCTCCAGTGCCCCTGGTCGGCTGGAGACCGTCTCCAGCAGACCAGGGGCACCGGGCGGGTTCCCGCGCTTCTGAGGCTTTGCTTCAGTCCCGGTTCTGTCGACAGAAGGTGTTATTGCATGTAAACTGACCTTTGCGTCTACACTACCATGTCGACAAAGCAGCTTGCTTTGTCGACAGAACTGAATGTAGTGTAGACGCTCTTTGTCGACAGAAGTTTTGTCAGCCATTATTACTGGCTTTGGAAAGTATCTACCAAGATGGGATGGATCTAAGTAGTGAGGCTGGTGGATTACTTTTGCTACTGTTGCCATTCTCTCGCTCGTAAATCTACTGTCGAAACTACTTGGGTCATTAAACAATGCCATCCAGGCATCTGCTACAACAGTAGTAGATCTTTGTCCAACACTAGAAGCTACATTTGGATCAATCCATTGAAAAAGTAATGGAAGAAGCAAAGATTTCAGTCCAGAAGTTGACTAATGGAGGCATTTATATTGAATCCTTAAGTGAAGAGGACAAGAAATGTTTGTTAAGAAACTGAAAAAGTACACAGACTTGATTCTTAAAAATCTACAACAGCGACTTCTAGATTCTACTCAACTTCTATGTAGCTTTTACAGATGCCTGTCCTATAAAACACCAAGAGTTGAGTGGAGTGAGGCACTATCTGCAATGGGGCTGCCATGTGCTCAGGACAGAATAGAGAATTTGAACACAGAGTGGAATATCATACAATGAATGAATGAAGATTTGACTTCAAGTTCTTTTTTATCATCACTCGACCGGATCTTTGTGCTATGTTTCCTGGGATGAAAGAAGTAGGAATTCATCTCTTGCTACTCCCAGTCACAACAGCTACAGTTGAGTGTTCTTTTTCATCATTGAATAGAATTTTGTTCTGAAAGAAGTCACCTTCTTTCTGATCATGTGAATGAACTAATGAGCATATCAGTTGAAGGAATGGAAGTACCGGACACACGAGAAGCCACCAACGCATTGCATTCGAGAAGTTCATTAACAGAGTTGTGCCAAATTAAAACAAGAAACCAAGAAGGATGTAGACGTAGTGCTTCATAGAAGGCTTGAGTAGCCAACTTTAATTTGAGTGATTTTAAAACATGAGTTAAATCAAATAAAATGGTCATGAAACATTTTTCAGTTTTTACTATGGTGCCATACAGCCAACCTTCACCCTCACGATCTCACCCCTCCTTGGCCCTGACACCTCCCCCTCGTAAATTTGAACACACCCCCTAAGTTCAATTTCTGGGGAAAACACTAGTCTTTTGGCACTCTGTACCTCAAAGCAACACCCTGGAATCAGACCCCCATATTCATCTCTGTCATATAATGATGAGATATTTCATAAGAAGTATGCTATGTGAGCTACATATGAAAAGTCATGAACTGCTAACATCAATTGTTCTGTCCAACTATGTGTATAATTAGTGTGTGTGAAGTTACAGGATTTTGCTGTGCGGTTGTCACTAAAATCTGAGAGTTTCTAATGCTAATTCTGCAGTGACAATGATGAAGGAGGTAACCAGCACCTATGAGGGTGTGGAATAATTATCACAACCCAGTTCCCAGCAGGGAAAGCACCACACAATGGGGACTGCTCAACTCTATGTCTCCATTGCACAAGGCCACACCAGAGGAATCACTCAACCCTATGACTCATTAAGGCTCACCAGGCATGTCTGAGCTAGTATCTTCCAGCCACATGGATTGAGGATATGAAACAGGAGAGTGGCATCCTGCTAGGGCCTTTCTCTGCTCCCATTTACACTGAAAGCAACAAACATGCTGGCAAGACAATGACTTCAGCTGAGGAGACCAAGCCCAGGCTTAAAAGGGCAGGCCTGTTGTGAGGGGGGGCACTCACCACCGTAACCCCCCTGCCGTCTGTCCTCAGGAATTGGCTCCCTCGGCGGGTAGGGTGCCTTCTCTGGGGTGATGTCTCCCCTCTTTACTCCCAGCTGCGGCATCCTCTTCACCACACTGCCCTCCGGCAGTGCCCAAGTCTGTCTCTGAGCCCCCCTTCCGGGGGTTGATGTTCCTTCATCGGGCCTTCTTTCAAGCCCTGCAGTCTGAGGATTTGCTGGCCAGAGCTCCCCTAGCCCTGCCTGGCCTCCCCCCAGCCCTGCCCTAGCTCCAGGGAGCCGCCTCCTCCTCCCTCAGCAGTCAGTTTCTCACTGCTTCCCCCCTCTCACAGCAGCAGCCCATCCTCTATTATAGCACCCAGCTGGGCCCTAATGGACTAGTACAGCCTCAGCTGGGCTAAACTCCCTGGCCCTGGTTCAGGCCGGGGTCTGCCCTTAAAGGGCCAGTGCAGGGCGAGCGCCCTGTCACACCTGTATATTAAGAACTGTAGCACCCAGTGGGGTGAGAAAACGCTAAATCTAACACGGCCCTAGTGTAACAGGGTTTCGAATTTCTTGCAGCTCCCATTGACTGGGAATGATGAACTGCAGCCAACGGGAGCTGTGAGCAGTGGTGCTCCCAGAATCTCTCAATAAAGCATCTGGCAGCCCACCAGGGACTAACCTTGGCAAACTGTATCTGGCAACTTAATGCCCACCCCCGGTGTGGTGGAAATATGCTGATTTCTGACATCTATTTTGTATTTTTAATAAATGTTACCTATTATCTTGCCCCCGGAAAAAGGTTCTGTGTGCTTTTATAAGCATAACAGATGAAGGCTTATAAATTTATGCTAGTCAGCAGTGTTACCTGAAAGTTGTGAATTTGGGTGGTCATCCAGGAGAGATTCACATGTTGCCCAGCTGATTAGCAGAGCACCCACAGCCAGCAACAGCCAGCAGCGTGTGTTTCTATTGTTGGTGCACATCTGTATATGTCTTGGTGCACATAACAAAACTTATTCTGCATGTAGATGGAAAAAAAATTAGAAGGAATGTTGCTTCTCAGGTTTCTGACCACCACAAAATAATATTGTATGGAGTGCAGGGCTGGGAGTTTGTCCTCCTCTGTGTGATTCATGAGTTTCTGGGAGCATTTATGCTATTGAGCTGGGTCTGGAGTTTCCACATGCAGTTGTGC